TACGTATATGTATATATACGTATGTATATAAACGTATATACGTATATATATATACACGTGTATATATACACTTATATATTTATATATACATATAATCCTACTCCTACACTCACTGTCCCTCCCTTGTTTATTTTACCAATTTTTATAACAATAATAAAAAATGTTTTCTTAATTATTATTAATTTATATTATCAGTATATTTGTTTTTATGTTGTTTTTTTATGTTTAGATAGGGGTTAAAAAAATAATAGTATATTTCTGGGAGGCTGGAACAAATTAATTAGTTTATTAGTTATTTATAATGGGGAAAATTCGATTTAGATACGAGTGAATCGAGACACGAGTGCTGTTGTGGAACGGATTAAACTCGTATCTCGGTGGTCCACTGTAACAGGTCTTACAAAATCCAAAAGTGTACAATTGGCTAATGCATCAATGCACACATGCATGCAGTTTAATAAGCAACCTGGCAGCTGCCACATCAAAACTGTTAAAACCTCAGTGCATCTCTCAGATGAACTGCTGCTGTTCTGAAAACTGAAAAATACATTAGACAAAAGTCACTGAGGTCTTTGCTCACAATGTTTTGCTGTGCTTCTCTCCACCTGGCAATCCAGAGACTCCAACATCATTTCCATATGGAACAACGGTAAAGGAATACCTGTGGTGGAGCACAAGGATGAAAAGATGTACGTTCCAGCTTTAATTTTTGGCCACCTGCTCACTTCCAGCAACTATGACGATGAAGAGAAAAAAGTCACAGGTTAGAGACGTTATCTTTATTCCATGCGCGGTGGACTGTTGCTGTGACACGTGGTCTTAAATGCTAACATTCGGTTTGTTCTCAGGTGGAAGAAATGGATATGGGGCCAAACTTTGCAACATCTTCAGCACAAAGTTCACAGTGGAAACGGCATGCAAGGAATACAGACACAGCTTTAAACAGGTGCGTAGTTCTCTGATGAATTAAAATCAGGATTACAATTTAATATGCCATTAAATGGAATGTGCTTTTTACTGGTTAATATCAATTTTTTCTTGCTGTAGTCAAAGAGAAAAACATGCATTACGTCTCTATTTAGCCTAATGATGGATTGGAGAACTGAGAGTTTAGGGCTGTGCAGCTCATCTTCAAATTAGTTAATATATAAAAAAAATAATAATAAAAAGGGAAATTTATTTAAAAAAAATTCTTCTTTGTATTCTGGCATTGGGTATGTATTTTTGGCTGTGCTTTCCAGAGCAGTAATGAGCTTCTGACTGACCACTTCTACAGTAGATTAGCTGTCAGTATGTACATATATATGTATATGTACATATATATGTATATGTACATATATATGTATACGTACATATATATGTATACGTACATATATATGTATACGTACATATATATGTATACGTACATATATATGTATACGTACATATATATGTATACGTACATATATATGTATACGTACATATATATGTATACGTACATATATATGTATACGTACATATATATGTATACGTACATATATATGTATACGTACATATATATGTATACGTACATATATGTATACGTACATATATACAGCATATATGTATGTGTATATATACATATGTATAGTTGTGTGCGTATATACAGTGCCTATCAGTATTCACCCTATTGGATGTTTTACTTAACAAAAGGGTAAAACATCCAAGGGGGTACATACGTATGAGTGGGGTTGTATATTTATACATGTATGGATTCCAGGTGCTGGTATTGTATAACAGACAGTGAGTGATTTATTTCATCTGACCATCACTTCAAATACTTGATTTTTGAAAAAAAGTCCTTGCTGTTTTGTAGGATCTTGACATCAGGTCATAAGCACAGGTAAGGCTACGCAAGTTATGACTGAGTTTTCTCCTCACTGTTAATGGTGGCTTCAGCAGACATGTAAATCACAGGGTGTGAATCATAAACAGTTGGGCTGATTGCAGTAGACACAGCACGGTTGCCGTGCTTCATCAGTTATTCCGGGAAGAAAAAAAGCGAAGACTGATTTGATGTGGTTTCCCGCAGACATGGCAGAACAACATGACGAAGACGGCGGACCCCCGGATCAAATTCTTTGACGGAGACGATTTCACTTGTGTGACATTCCAACCAGACCTTGCCAAGTTCAAGATGGAGAAACTTGACAGAGATATTGTTGCACTTCTCACACGCAGAGCATATGATATAGCAGGCTCCTGCAAAGGGGTTAAAGTTACACTCAATGGAAAAAAGCTACCTGTAAGTGCCATGTTTTGTGAATATTTTTTTTAAATTAAGCCTGGTATTTTTCCCCCCTCTTTTAACTGTTAAGACATACTGCGTTTTGTCACACTTTTTTTTTTTTCATCCTTTGGCTGGGTTTGTGATTTATATATTTAAATATATAATATTTTCACACTGATGGCCGCTAGAGGGCACTCTAGGCTTGTGTATCAGTATCTGCTACTCCTGTACCACTGAAAATTTACATGCTTGTTATTTTCACACTGACAGCCGCTAGAGGGCACTCTAGCTGGCTGGTACGATTTATACTCCAGAGTGACTTATAATGTGGCAAATACGGTAATCCTTTATTTGGTCATATATTGCAGGTGAATGGTTTCCGCAGCTATGTGGATCTGTATGTAAAGGACAAACTGGACGAGACTGGTGTTGCCTTGAAGGTGGTCCACGAATCCGTGAATGATCGCTGGGAGGTTTGCCTCACGATGAGTGAAAAGGGATTTCAACAGATCAGCTTTGTGAACAGCATCGCCACGACCAAGGTAAACGCTGTATATGTTGAACTGGAGCCGGTGTAGAATTGGTAGACAAAAGTGTCACTGGGTGTGTGCAAGTAATATACAGCATACAGCAAGTGTTGACATTTACATCCATCACCCTCAGAGCTGGTACAATCCATGTATGTCAGATACATGGATGTAGGATGTAGTACTAGCGGTGAATCAGAAATGCTACTTCAAATAATAAACACTGGTCAGGTCAGTAACAATTAAAAGTGTAAAAAAAAAAAATCTTGCTATAAACTTATTAAAACAGAAGTTATGCAAGTGTACTGATGAAATTATTATGAAGTTATTTCTGACAATATATAATCTTAAAATATCTCAAGAATATTGTATTTCTGAGCTACTGCTAGCATGTAGTACGCAATCTGTGAGCTCACTGTGTTTTATTTTATTGTACTGGTACTTTAATGTTTAATGTAATTTATATTTTTGTCTCAATTCTGATGCACACAAATGTTCTCAATGTATTTACATTCCTGTATGAACGTTGTGAGATGCATGTTTTTAAATATGATTTTTTTTTTTTGTTTGTTTGTTTTCTTTTAGGGTGGCAGACACATTGACTACGTGGTAGACCAGATTGTTTCCAAACTAATCGAAGTGGTGAAAAAGAAGAACAAGGCAGGAGTGTCAGTGAAGCCTTTTCAGGTGAGTTAAGGTTTTGAGAAAAAAACTCAGTGAAGTAGGATAAATGCCCCTTATATGTTAAATTGATTGACCTTTTTCCCCCTCCTTGCCTCAGGTGAAAAACCACATCTGGGTGTTTGTGAACGCTCTGATTGAGAATCCCTCCTTTGACTCCCAGACGAAGGAGAACATGACACTTCAGACCAAAAACTTTGGGTCCAAATGTCCTCTGTCGGAAAAATTTATTAAGGCTGTAAGGAGACACAGATTAAATGCTTTCAAACAGTTCATCACATAAAATAGTTGGATTGTTTGTTTTCCACAATGTTGTTGTTTTTTTGTTTTGTTTGTTTTTTTTTTGTCTTTGTATTCTGCAGGCGACCAACTGTGGAATCGTGGAGAGTATACTCAACTGGGTTAGGTTCAAAGCTCAGACACAGTTGAATAAGAAGTGTTCATCTGTGAAGTACAGCAAGATCAAGGGAATCCCCAAGTTGGACGACGCTAACGATGCTGGTGTGTAAACTGTGACTATTCATTCAATGTGCATTATAATTTTTTTTTTAATTCAGTTAACTGAGTTAAACTGTGACTATTCATTCAATGTGCACTCCATGGCCTTACAGTTTAATCAGAATCGTTGACATTGCATTATAATTTTTTTTTAAAATTCAGTTAACTGAGCTCAAGAGTAACTGAGGTCTGTTGTATTTGCTATATTGTATATCATAGTAATAGCTGTTAGTTGCTGGTGGTTTTTGCTCAGTCATCCTTTCTTAATGTTAGCGCTTTAAAATTGTGGTAGGCTGTGCAAAACAGTGAGTCTTGTCTACTGTTGACAAGCCAGTTAAATAAATTGCGAGTGACTGTAGACTGATTTGATGTTGTCATGAAGACAACAACTTGAAATCGAAATTTCGGAAGTCACAAAGGTTGACGTGAATTTCCCAAGTGGGATCAAAAAAGTTCCAAATGAATTAATTTTATTTTCCCTTCCAATAATATACAGTGTGGTGCTTTTCACATTCATTCATACAAACAAATGTATTACTCTGTGCTTTGTCGCAGCGCTGGTTTGTTTTAGTTATACTTTTGTTATGCATTTTAACTGAGCACTCAGCTATGCTAATGGTCCCTTCATTAGATTTACTCCTCTCCGCACTTTTATATTGCGCACTTTATTTCACCGTCTACATTTTTCGACTTCTATTTTCCCAGGTGGCAAGCACTCGGCTGAATGCACACTCATCCTCACTGAGGGAGACTCGGCCAAGTCTCTAGCTGTCTCTGGACTAGGAGTAATCGGTCGTGACCGATATGGGGTTTTCCCACTCAGAGGAAAGATTTTGAATGTGCGAGAGGCAACGCACAAGCAGGTACAGCAGGAGGGTCTCTTTGAAATCTGATCTCTTTAAATTGAGAATTTTAAACAGATTCTCATTGTACAGAATCTGTTGTGAAATGAGCGGCCATCTTGGGTTATGTTATGTAAAAGCATCATTCTCAAATGGGCTGTGAAAAGGACCACGTTTACATTATTGGTGTTGCAATAAGATCACATATAACATAAATATATAATATAAAAGTCCTTCTTAACGCTTGTTAACCACTACACTTTTCCAGTAACAAGAAAAAGTTTTGTTATAATTGTAATTTTAATTCAAGACAAGGAGAAAATACTTTTCCCTTTTGGCAACAGATCATGGAAAATGCAGAAATCAACAACATCATCAAAATCGTTGGCCTCCAATACAAGAAGAGCTATGAGGATCCAGAGTCACTGAGGTCCCTGCGCTACGGCAGAATCATGATTATGACTGATCAGGTAACCTCCCTAAATATTCAGTGTCTTCAAGTAAACTGTTAGGTGAACTTGTTGTTGGTTTACCTGCTTCTTTAACCTCATCTCCTTTTCCAGGATCAAGACGGCTCCCACATCAAAGGTCTGCTCATCAACTTTTTCCACCACAACTGGCCGTCACTACTCAAACACAATTTTCTGGAGGAATTTATCACCCCCATTGTGAAAGTAATGTATATATATTTATATGTTATATATTTTTAATGATAACTAATGTATAATTACACAAATATCCATTGTTGACTTGTCATTGCCTTCATAAGATTTTGTCAGATTAAGTGACTATGCAAAAATTGGGGTCAACTGGGGTTTTTTCTGAACTCATCTGGGAGAGTTTGTCGTCAAATTTTGAAGTTTTCGATAAACCCCCCCCCCCCCCAAAAAAAACGTGCGTACCATCTGCCGTACCATCATATCATCTGCATAACGAGTAACGTACCGTAAGGCTTATTTGTGGTAAAATAGTGAACTATCATCTGCATAACGAGTGATAAAAAACTATGTTCCCTATAAATCTCAACATCAGCAAGTGTTTCCCAAACGTTTTATCTGGGGACCCATATTGTAAAAGTCACAAACCTTCGCGAACCCACGTCAATAGACATTATTCGTAAACTCTAGGGAAACATGATGCGAGACGACCCCAAAAAAAATCCCATTTCTTGCGACCCACCTGAGGATTGCGACCCAGTCTTTGGCAAACAATGTTTAAAACAACCTAGCGGTTGAGTTTGTGCCAGAGTACTGTGAAGAATTGACTGTTTTCTGAAGGCCAATTTTTTTCAAAAAGAATGTTTTTTTTTTCTTAACGCTTTAATCCTTGTTTTTGATTGTAATAAAAACCATGGATCAAGATGTAATACCTTCTACGACCCAATGGGTGTATAGCGTATATAATTAGCTTCTTCTGTGAACTAATACCATTGATTATAGATGTAGTAACATAAAGTAGGCAATTATTTTTAAGTTCCTTAGTCCAACAGTCACAGTTAGTTATGTATGTATTCATATATCCACAAAACGCGAATGTTTTGTAAATCTGCGCTCGACTTTTGCAGGCAACCAAGAGCAAACAGCAACTGGCCTTCTACAGCATCCCGGAGTTCGATGAATGGAAGAAACATACAGAAAACTTTAAAAGCTGGCATGTAAAGTACTACAAAGGTTTGCGGCTCGTATTTTTCTTTAGCAAATCATCATTATCTCTGAACGTGCATTCACATGAAAAGTAATGTTTAAAAAAATTCTACGTTCCAGGTTTGGGTACAAGTACAGGTAAAGAGGCAAAGGATTACTTTGCGGACATGGAAAGGCATCGCATCATATTCAGATACGGCGGCGTCGAGGACGATGCAGCTATCACTCTGGTGAGTTCGTCACTTGGTACTTAAGCGAATGTAGTACTTCTCAAATATCAACTTGTGCAAATACATATTATCAGGTTCTCAATAGTACAGTGATCCCTCTCCTATCGCGGTAGTTGCGTTCCAAGACCCACCGCCATATGGGAAAAATCGTGAAGTAGAGACGAGATAGTTATATTATTTACGTATATATTTACCCTTTATGTACCTCTCCTACACTGTTATCGACAGTCGAACAACAACAACAGCGCCCTCCTGTGTCCAACTTAGGTCATTACCTTACATTAATTAAATGCTCACTATATTTACAGTATATATCATACATGTCACGCATGACATGCGGGTATCTTAGATTTCCCAACCCAAGTCTCATCTCACAAAATGGCGTTTCGTTTATTTATATACTGTTTTTTCATTTTCTAGGCTAGATGATGATTATTTTTCACAAAAAATATTGGAAATTTAAAAAATTGTATTTACCGTAAAATATCGAAATAATGGGAAAATGTTTCAATATTTCAATTTAGGGTCTGCGAAACAAATTCTCTCCAGAACCAGCTGTCTAATGGCTGTTTATGGCAGTTGGTATATCGATTTATTGAACAATTTTGTTACTTGCGACAGGTCAGTCTTTAAAGAGAAAAGCTGTTTTCATATTTAATGAGTCCGGCGAGATGTGTCCAATAAATAGACGCCAATCCACCTGATCCTTTCTGACTGATGTGCTTGTTCAATTTCAGGCGTTCAGTAAGAAGAAAACAGATGACAGGAAGGAGTGGCTGACTAATTTCATGGAAGACAGACGCCAGAGGAGGATGCATGGCCTACCAGAGGTACGACTTCACAAATTTCATTCGTTTAATCGTCTGCTGTGCTCCTTCCTAGCAAGGCCTTTGTGGCCCATTTGTTTCGATTCTCTAATAAGATATTTGGTTTTTATTCTCTTTTGTTTAAAGCACAAGCATATGTCAATAGGTGTTATTTAAATTATTTAAATAGTCATGAGAAAATATGTACTATATCTGTATCCAGCTCATGTTTTTGCCTTGATCATCAACTTTTGAGCCTAAATGCTTAACATAGGTTAGTCAAGAGTGTAGAAATGACATGCTCACTGTACATCAAGAGTGTAGAAATGACATGCTCACTTTAGTGTTAGAACTATCAGTATTATATGGTTAATTGCGTTCATGTACTTTTCTCTTATTAATAATTCAATTTCACTACTGCACTGCTTATTTTTTTTTAGACCTTATGAACTATTGAAGATTTGATAATAAATGTATTTTTTTTTTACGTTTAATTGTTATTTTTCAGCAATACCTGTATGGGACTCAGACCAAGCACCTGTCGTATAACGACTTCATCAACAAAGAGCTCATTTTGTTCTCCAATTCTGACAATGAAAGATCAATCCCATCTCTTGTGGACGGTTGGTATCTTTTTATTTTTCTACTTGGTATTTAATGAAAGTTCAGCTTTGTTATATTTGGCTCTCTATTTCTAGAGGTCATTTTTTTTTCGTTAGGTTGTCTTGTCAAAGTATTTTCTGATTTAAAAAAAAAAAAAAAAAAAATGTGCTGTTCCCAGGCTTGAAGCCAGGTCAGAGAAAAGTGCTGTTCACCTGTCTAAAGAGAAACGACAAGAGAGAAGTAAAGGTAGCACAGCTGGCTGGTTCAGTGGCAGAGATGTCCGCGTATCATCACGGAGAGGTACCTTGATGTTTTTCAGATTTGAGTCGTTTCAAAAAATTCTTTTGATTGTATTGTAAAATCGAATTTTACAATCATATCGTTTCAGTGTCTTATCACACATCCTTAAATGCAGGAAACTATTTTTTAATTTTTTTATTCCAAAATATTTTTTTTATCTCTTAGCTTTAGCTCGTAGATTCATAGAAATTCAAGGGTGTGTGTGTGTGTGTGTGTGTTTCCGAGCTGCTACTGATTTTCATTTGTCACCTTTCAATTTAGCAAGCTCTCATGATGACAATAGTGAACTTGGCCCAGAACTTTGTTGGAAGCAACAACGTCAACATTCTGCAGCCCCTGGGTCAGTTTGGTACTCGCATCAATGGAGGCAAAGATGCTGCCAGCCCTCGTTACATTTTCACCATGCTCAGGTACGGCGCTGATAAACAGTCATTAAGGCATAACTTGGTTCGTCTCTTTGAGTAGGTGACCCCCCTCACCCCTCAAATAGTTGTCATTTGTTCAGCATCCCCGTGTGGTCTTTTTCCACAGTCCTCTTGCGAAGCTGCTTTTCCCAGCAGTAGATTCCAACCTGCTGAAGTTCCTCTATGACGACAACCAGAAGGTGGAGCCCGAGTGGTACATTCCCATCATTCCACTGGTGCTTGTAAATGGTGCCGAGGGTATCGGGACCGGCTGGGCATGCAAAATCCCCAACTACGACCCCAGAGAGATTGTGAACAGCATCAACCGTTTGCTGAATCACGAAGATCCACTGCCAATGGTAAAAGTCTGAAGATGAACAGCGAAA